ACAGGACCCCGCTCTGCCAGGAGCACGGCCAGGGCTCGCGGGCCACCCGTGCCTGGCCCCCTCCGCTCCTTCCTGACGCAGGCTCCAGGGGGGACAGGCAGCGTCCGGGCTCAGGCCCTCCCCCAGGCCTCCCGTCTCCCTGTTAGGAGGCAGCCTCCCCGGGCAGGCACTGGGCCTGTCCATCTCCCCACCAGGAGCCAGGGACACACAGCGCAGTGTCCTACGGACAGAAGGGAGGAAACTGTTTCTCAGGTCCCACTGCCCGGGGGACGCGTCCCACACATCTTAAAGGTGCTTGGAAAGCTGGGCGCGGTGGCGCACACCTGTCATCCCAGCAGCTCGGGAGGCTGAGGCAGGAGGATCATGAGTTCAAAGCCAGCCTCAGCAACTTAGTGAGGTCTTAAGCCACTCAGCAAGTCCCTGTCTCTAAATAAAATACAAAAACGGGCTGCGGCGGGGGGGCGGCTGGGGCTCAGTGGTAGCGCGCACACCTGTCATCCCAGCAGCTTGGGAGGCTGAGGCAGGAGGATCATGAGTTCAAAGCCAGCCTCAGCAACTTAGAGAGGCCTTAAGCCACTCAGCAAGTCCCTGTCTCTAAATAAAATACAAAAACAGGCTGGGGCGGGGGGGCGGCTGGGGCTCAGTGGTAGCGCGTTTGCCTGGCATATGTGAGGCACTGAGTTCGATTCTCAGCACCTCATCTAAATAAATAAAAATAAAGGTCTATCAACAACTGAAAAGATATTCTTAAAAAAAGGCGAGGGGTGGGGCGGCTAGGAATGTGGCTCAGTGGTTAAGTGCCCTGGAGTTCAATCCCTGGTATCAAAAAAAAAACACAAAACACTCAGAGAACCTGGTCAAGAACCACGGAGCCTTGGACCTCTCAACAGCAAACAGATGGCAGAAGACAACAATGAGACTCTCTAAAATTCCAAGGGAAATTTTCTCTCCATCTAGAATTCGATCCGAGGTTATCCAGAGCCTGGGGATCTAGAGAACGGCTCAGTGGAAGGGCAATCCAGGACAACAGCTACAGAGCAGGGGCGCAGAAACCACCCACACGTGTAAGACAAATAGCTCAGAAAGAAGGAAATGAAGACCACCGATTCCGCTGTGTTTGGGTGTGTAGGAAAATTAGTGCCAGTAATGACAGTTACATTAGAACGTTCAGGGAAAAAAAATTAATGGTAGATGCATAAAAAACTTAGCAAGTGCACAAAATGAGGCGATCACTAACCCCAGGAAAAATAGAAAGCCATACAATGGAAAAAAAGAGACCAAACCATAATATAGTGCACGCTGCAGTTTGCGTCACAGGGAATCTCAAGCTGAAATTTAATTCTCATTGTGAGCTATTAAGAAGGTGGAAACTACCATGGGATTTAGAGGCGAGACCTTTCACAGAGGAGCAAAGCTACATGGGGCAACAGGAGCAAAGGCCTAATCTGATGGAACTGTGGCTTTAAAAGGAGAGGAAAGACCTTGGATAGGAGCTCTGTCTCACATGCGATTGATTTCTTGTGCCACCTCTGGACTCTGCAGAATCCCCACCAGTAGGAAGGTCCTTACCTGACAGTTACCCAATCTTGAACTTTCCAGCTTATAGGAATATAAGCTCGATAAACCTTTATTCTTTATAAATTACTCTGCCTGTGGTACTTAGTTATAGCAACAGAAAACATTCTAAAGCAGAACATTACTTGGCTCAACAATAAATGATATTAGTTCCACCACAGCAACGTAGCCTAATTAACTACTGGATGTGTCCAAGGAAATCTGTGAAGCTGGGAGGGACTGAAGCAAATTACCCCCCATGCCATGAGCAGGCACCAACAACACAAAAACAGGAAAGAGAATGCAAGGTGCTTGCTGGGACAAGTGAATGGCATGTGGGATGCCACACAGGGCTGTCTCTTCTCTCTGTAAAAGCTTTTAACACTGATTTCTTTCTTTTAACACTGATTTCTTTCTCATTTCTTTTCATAAATTACTTTCTAAAAATTTACATTCATCCAAAAAATTCCCATGGTGCAGGCGCAGTGGCGCACACCTGTAACCCTAGCGACTTGGGAGGCTGAGGCAGGAAGATCTCAAGTTTGAGAAAAATAAATAACGTAAATAAAAAGGGCTGGGGATGTGGCTGAGGGGTTCAATCCCAGGACCAACAAACACATAGATAAGACTGCCACGTTGGAAGGCGTTTCCATCTCCAGGGGAACAGCTTTGATGGACAGTCCTGCCCCATTCCCAGCCAAAGCCCACCAAGTCAGTGCCCACCTCTGATCTCCAGTATTCACGCCAATCCACGTGAAACCAAGGGCCCCCACGCACCTCTGCCTCGAGGAAGGGTCCACAGTGGGACTGGCGTCTTCCTGGAGACAAAGCCTGGCACTGCACTACCTCCTGATTATCTACATCCAGAGAGTCACCGAGGGAAAGAGACCCTCAACTTGAGAACCAGGTGAAAACCAAGGGACGATGTTACCAAGAAGGAAAAGCAAGTCTCCCCGGATTAGAACAAAACTAGGTAGATGCGTTCAGCTGGCTCAGAGTTCAGTACCCAAGTCACCTTCTGTCCTGGGCACCGAATGCTGTCAGAGACACTTGGGCACCAGCCTTGCTGGGAGGGGAGGGCGGAGGGGTCGAGGGGACCCCTGAGAAGCCCTGGCAGCAGCCGAGAGCCCTCAGCGGGTCTCCCAGTCGGCTCTCGCGTTTTCAAAGCCGCCAGGCCGCTGCCTATTCCCCGCTCGCTCGAGGGCCGTGAGCGGCACGCTACCTTCCACCTCTGGCCCCGCGGCTTCAGACTGAAGGTTTCCTTCTTGGACTGGCCTTGACCGGCTCAGGCTCCGTGGTTTCAGGACCTGCTTGGTCCTTCAGCAGCCAGGGCAGCCCTGCAGGGGAGACAGAGATGTCAGAACGCAGGGAGGGGACAGGCAGGGTCGAGGGAGGGCACACAGTTCCAAGCAGGGGCTACGCAGGCCCGTCTGGGGACAGGGGCACCGACTCCTCCGCCTGGCGTGGCATCTGGTGGGGGTGGTGGGACTGAAGTGTGGGAGGTCCGCAGGTCTTCGAGCCCATGCTGCCCGGAAACGCACCTTACATGGGCCCCTCGTGGGCAGGGCCGGCCAGCAGCTCCGTCCACCAAACCCTCCCCCGGACATCGGCCACCTGAAACTCGCAGAGTCCATGAGCACACTCTAGAAGCCACGGGGGGACCTGGGTCGCGGGACTCAGTGACCTTCACGGAGTCCGGTGGCATCAAAGCCCGTGCTCCTGGGGATCTGTGGGGGTCGCCCTTAGAGACGGATAAAGGGGGTTGAGCGTCCAGCGTGTCCAACCCAACCGTGGAGACTCGGGTCCTCTGGAAGAAAGGACTCACGGCCAAAGGCCAAGGA